TTTGATGCTGTTTACTTGCTGAATTAAATTAGTGAACTGTTGACTAGCACTATTTTCTAAATTGCTTAATCGTTGGTCTAAATTTTTCTGTTGCTGGATAATTTGTCCCAAAGTCATTTGCATAGTCTGAATTCCTTGCTGAATTTCTCCCATGGTGCCACTCATTTGCGGTATCTTTTGACCCGTCGTCATTTCTAACATTAAGGGAATTCACGGCACCATCGACATTAAAGAAGGAGGTAAAGAAAATAAGCCTTTATTTGGTGGCTGACTTTGCGGATTAATTTGTTCTTGCGTTTGTTGGTTGGGAAATTGATTATTCATGAGCGGATTATTTAACTAAATTAATGAGGGTATTTAAACCAAACAAAGCTCCCCCAAAAGTAGGGATTAGAGTTAAGTAGGGTTTCATTTTCTCCTCTTCTAGTTTATTGCGATAATAGTAAAGAACTAAACAGATAATAATTACGACGATTAATCAGTATTCTTTTTTTCATTCCATAGCTACTTATCTAATTCTTTTTTTAAAGTGCTGCTAGCTTTGAAACTTACCCGATAGTAAACATAAGTCTTACCATTTAAAGCGGTAGTAATTTGAGTCTTTTTTTTCTGGAGAGTTCCTAAATTACCTAATTTAATTACTCCTTTATCTTTTAACTTCTTTAAAGAAGAGAATAAGTCCGTCAGAACTAAGTCATAGGCCGTAGCTAAATTTGGATTAGTTTGCTTGATTGGTTTAGCCATAATTATTTAGTATTTCATCTCTCATAACCATAAGTCAAGACTAAACCCGCAATTATTCCGATTGCTAAGTAAGTATATTTAGATTCTTGGAGATTCATATTTTTTATCTTAAATTATTGTTTTTTCCTATACAGGACTAAGAAGATTCAGAAAGAGATATTTATTTTCAGTTGCCTGAATGGGAGAGCTGGAAAGTTGACTAATTTTTAGTGAGAGCTTTCGATATTTTTTCTGAATTTGGGCAAATAGTTTTTTTTGTGAAAGTTCGTCGGAACGACTTCACTTTTCCGTTACCGGGCTGGGACAGTGCTATATTTTTGTTTTTAGTGATTTGTTTAACGGGGTGTGATAGGCTTTTTTCGAATAAAGATTATTATCAAGAACGGAATAAAAATCTTTATAAGCAAAAAATGGGTGATTTTTTTAGAAAGAATTTTTTGAGAAATTTGTTGGAAGATTAGAAATTTATCTCCTTTGGTTTTTTTTTGCTCTCACTTTCTTAGTTTTTGGACAATTATTTTCACTAAATAAACAGGTTAGATTTTTAAGTTTATTAAAGCCTTTTTCTTCATAGATTAGGTGATTGGGGTCGAAGATTAAGGCTTTGAAGAGATAAAGATTAGTATGTTTGATTTTTTGGAGATTGCCGTAGAAACGGGGTTCTTTGCCGAGAGGGATTTGGCAAAGTTTGTTGTAGTCGAGGTAGGGGTTATCGACTAGACTTTCAATTTTCTTTTTAATATAAGAACTGTGGATTAAATGAAAATGTTCTTGCTGAAATAATTCCTCTATTTCGGCTTCTTGACAGGCGGATTTAAGATTTTGGAATAATTCAGAAATGAATATCTTACTGTCTATTTGCTCATTAATAGCACTAGTAAACTTAAGCTCCTCATTATGTAAGCAATGAGTAATTAAATCTTTAAAGTCAAAAAGAATTTGGGACATTAATTAGTAAGAGCGATAATTTGAGTTGGTTCAATAAAGATATGGGGAGTTCTTTCTCCGTTAGCCTGTTCGCGGGCTTGTTCTCAGGATTCGTCCTCAGGTTGAAAAAGAAAACTAATTTCCTTACCTTTCTTTTTAGCATTCTGATAATCTCGGTAAACTTTGGTTAAATAGGGCTTAATTGTTTTGTCTTCTACCTCTTCTACTGGCTCGAATAAACAGTCCATAGTTCCATGTTCTTTATAATGATGCTTCATTTGTTGGTAAACTGATTCTAACATTGGCCCACCATCTCAGGCTTGAAATTTTTCTGTAAATAAAACTTTATTTTCTTTTTTTAGGACTTCTCGGTAAGTGAGATAAATCGTGTCTTGCATTAGCCGATAATCTTCAATGCCTTTTTGGTAAAAATATTTAGCCACTGATAAAGGATTTAAATTTAATTGTTTTAGTTTATTGCTATTAGTTACCATGATATTATTTACTTTTACTTGGTTTTTTGCTTGCCATTCTAAACTTTCTTTATCACCAAATAAAAAAAGAAAGAACAAGAGTAAAAAACGCTTTAATTTATTTTTGGTTGATTAAGGTCATATTAGTTATTTTACTTCAATATCATAATCCACTAATACATTAGCTCCATTTTTTCCTTCTTCCACAATAAAGTTTATTTCCTGACCTTCTTTTAATCAACTTCATTTTTCCTCGGAGACTTTGCCCGAGAAGACTTCAGTTCTAAAATCAGATAATTATTCCTGTTTTTATCTAATAACTCTTTGCGATTGTTGATAGTGGCTTTGATATTTCTAGTCAGGTTCATTTACTATTTATTTTTTTTTGGCTACCTCTGCTTTTAAATCCGCACTAAATTTAATTTTTGGCACTCTTTTAGCCGGAATATTCATTTTTTTCTTAGTCTGCAAGTTCATAGCCACCCTCGGCTTAGTTATTGCCGTAGTCAAAGAATAATAACTAGGGAAGCGAATTGTTTCTCCTTTGACTAAGGCTTTTTTGGTTTCGGTTAATAGTTCGTTGATTACACTTTCAATTTGAGATTTGGTTAAACTGGCTCTTTTCCGACTTAGATTATTAGCAATTCGTTCAGTTAACTGCTTTTTACCGGTAATTATTGTTTTTGTTGGCATATATATTATTTATTTTGTTGTCTTTGCTCCTTAGATTGGTCGAAATTTCACTAAATTACTTAAATCTCTATCTCTGATATAGAGGGCAGTCGTGCTTATTTTACTATGCCCTAATACTTTCTGTAAAACTGGTAAGGGCATTCCCGAAATGGCTTGGTAAGTCGCAAAGCACCTTCTTAATGTGTGCGGACTTAATTCAATATTCTCACTAATATTCAGTTCCTTTTTCACCTGCTCCAAAAACTTGCTAAAAGTAAAACGGTTAGTTTGCTGGGTCTTTCACTGTCTTTTTTTCAGTTCTTTGATTATTTCTTCTCCCACATAAACCCAGCGTTCTTTTTTACCTTTACCGCGTAAAAGATATAAGTTTTTGTATTCGGGTTGTTGATGTTCCAAAGCTAAGTCAAAACCAATCGCCTCAGTAATTCTTAATCCAGCTTTTCAGCATAATAAGAACAGACACTCCATTACTTCTTTTTTATGCTCGCCTCTTTTGGCTGGTCGAGTAATAGCATAATCCCAAACTTGGGCTAAAAGTTGGTTAGTTGGTAAAATGGTTAAATTTCTTTCCATTAGTTATTTAAATTTTACACCAATTAGGACATTATTTACTAATTATTTTCTGATTAAGTGGAAAGTATAAGATATTTTTAGCCTTTATTTACTCTTTCCGTTCTCTTTTGTGGAAAGTTTTTTAGTTTGATAAATTTTTCAATTTTTTTGGTGTTGATTTCCTCGGAGATGAGCCTTGATAATTTCAGGTTCTTTGGCAAAGTAAACTAAACAGATGTAGCAAATATTTAAATCTTCCCCTTTTGGATATTTATTTACCTTGATTTCTAATTGCTCCTTTTTTTGAAAATATTGGAATTCTTTACTAGGCAGTTTAGGCTTTAGTTCTTTTTTCTCATAAAGTTCTAAATCTCTAATATTCTCTAAACCTTTTTTCCCTCAGGGAGTAGTGAAAATATTTCTTTCTTTTAAAAAGGCTTGGAGTTCAGTAAGTTTTTCAAAATGTAAAGAGAATTTAACATTAGCTCGACCTTTCAGGGTATAGCGAACTCCGGTTTCGTGAATAGAACCAATCCCGACCATAAATCTACCTTTACTGTGCAACTCGCCAATATGTTGACCATCTTTGTTTACTAATCAGCAAGACTTCGGGAGTTCTTTAATCAGTAAATAGCGGTGAACTCCTTGGTTAGTTTCTATATAACGGCTAACTTTAATTCTCTCCTTAGCTCAACAGTCGTCTAAATCAATCACCACATTAAAATAATTGCCAATGGGTCGTCCCGTTCTGATTCCGTAATTAAAACCTTGCTCTAACATTTGGCTAATGGTCAGTGGCTCACTGTAATAGTTAGTTCAATTGGCAATTAAAGGATATTTGCTTTTATTTTTGCTTTCGCGGGCTATTCTAATGCGAATATCCCTCCGGTCAAACATTCTTAAATATTTAGTTTCGGTGGGGGTTAAGTGGTTAGTTTTCATTTTCTTATATTGGAGTGTGGTGGTATTCTATTATCGCCTTAGCGAGTCAGAGAATAGAACTATTAGTAAACTTCTCATAGAGGATATTCATTAAAATTAAAAAAAAGTCCTCTGGGACACAAAAAAAAGATTAGTTTTTGGCTTGGTAATCAACCAAGTCTCTATGAGCTCCGATTTATTTTTAATGAGTGGGAGTTCTCACTAGGCTAGACTATGGTTCCGTTTTCCAACTTAACAGGATTCTAGCATCCCCTCTGCCTTATCCTTTTGAAGTAGAATAGCAGTGGAAGTTCTTTGTCAAGTCTTTATTAAAAGCCTTAACAAGTGATAAATCACTTTCCATCACCGATTGGACGGTGTTTTTGTTTAACTTTTGTCCCTGGTAAAGACAGTCCCGCCCAAGGTTTAGCCTCAGTTGGGACATATTGGTGAGAATTAAATTCTCAATTCGACCATTAGCGGAGAGTAGAAGTGGAAGCCAAACTAATGGTCGAATTCAAAAGATAATCTGGCGGATTTAGTAATTAACCGCTTTCTCTTTTCGGCACTCAGCAGCCTTTTTCATTCTTGCTAACGATGCTCGCTTCCGTGAATTCAAAAATAATCTCGCGGGCAAAGTTAGGAACACACAAAGGTAATTGATTAAGAGTTAAGAGGAATAGGGACAAACTCTTGGCGGTAATAAATAGTCTCACTATTTTGGCAGAACTTAGCAAAAACCTTAATTTTTTTCTCATAAATAGTAAAAGTAATTCAGGAGTTTTCTCCTAAGCTAAAGCCATTTCCCCCATAGTTAGCCGCAAATTGGTTGTCTTCCGAGATTTCATAGCAGTATTCGGAGCTAGTGGGGTCTATTCTTCACAATCTATTGGTTAGGTAGTCGTATTTAAACTTCATGGCGACAAATTGCTTGGTTGATATTTGTTTCATTCTTTCACAATTTACTATAATCCGCATAAACATATTCAAAATCATTCTGAATGTATTTCTCGGTGGTTTGCACACTACTATGGCCGAGTAATTGCTGAATGGTTAATAATTGGGCTCCATTACGGTATAAAAGAGTAGCAAAGCTTCTACGGAAAGTATGGGGAGTGATGTTTTTCTGAATACCTGCTTTCTCGGCTTTCACTTTCAATAATCAGCGAATATACTCGGCTTTGATGGGATTGCCCCGTTGGTTAGTAAATAGATAATCAGTCGAAGTTGGATTAAAGTGAGTAATCAAGAATTCTGGCAATAAAACAAACCGCACTTTATTCCCTTTACCGAGTATTCTTAACTGCTGGCCTTGTCAATCGGAATGCTTAATGTTTACTAATTCGTTAATTCTTAATCCCGAATAAAGTAAGAAGTCTAATATTAAGTTATTCCGCTGGTGAATGAGAAGATTTTTTTCGACTTGGGATTCTTTTAATTGCTGTAATTCACTTTCATTAATAGTAGCAAAGAATTTCCGTTGCATGCTAGGAATAAGCCGGACAATTCTGGCTCATTCAACCTCTAATTTCTTAAACTTGACATAAGAATTCAAGGCATGTTGGTGCAGTTTTAAGCTAGTCGCTTCATACTTTTTGAGATTAGTGCGGAAGTAGGCTTGGAGATTAGTGGTGGTAAACTCATGGGGGAACTTTTGTAAAGTGTTTAAGTATAATCTAATTGTGTTGGGAGATAAATTTTTATCTTGTAATCAGGCTGTATATTGGCTGATATTATGGTTATTAGTCATAATACTGGTTGGGGGTTGGTTGGCTTTTCTAGTGGCTCAATAAGTAGTTCAGTTCATTATAGTTCGATATCTATTTGGTATTTAGGTCTTTGGCAGTGTTGACATGATTGACCAGTGATTACTCGCTCTTTTCAGTGTCAGAGAATTATTTCTCGGCAAGGTTTTAACTGTTTACATTGGGGACATTTAACTCGGACTGTTCAGAAAGTTAGGACAGATAAACCTAAACCGAGGGTTAGACCTAATAAAAGGCTGATTATTAGTGCTATCATAGTTTAAAAATCTTCCTCCACTTCCTCTTCGTTAGTGTATTCATCAATCAAAGAGCAAAGTCCTTCCTCCAAAATTAGAGGTTCCCCAAACTCGTCCAGTTCTTGGCGGGCTTTTTTATCTCTTAACAATTCTAAGGCTTCTTCTAATTGACTCTCTAAATCGTAGTAATAATCACTATCTCACATTTCCCTGTCGTCAGAGTTGATAGAGTGATTACCAATAGTTTCAATAAGTTTCTGTAATTTTTCTAATTTCTTTTCGATTTTATTTCCTAAGGTTCTTTTGTTCATAGTGTTATTT